TATCAGAAAGAGTGTGAGAAAAAGCAGTGGGGAAAGGAAACTCTATTTAGGCTCTGTAAGTGGAAAGACTTGTGGAAAACAGATGTGCAGACACACATAATAATGAATGTTTGGCTCAAATTTGTCCTAAAGCTGCAGTCAGATCAAAGCATGACTGCAGAAACTCAGGCACAGGTTCGCCTCGTGATTTTTGAGCCAATCAGAGAATTTACCAAAAGCGAGCCATGTGTTCTAAAAGTTTCTAAGTTTGTTTGCTGTCTGGGGCAGCCTTAATGTTGGAGGAGTAACTGAATGATACATCACATTAAAAGAGAAACCAATTTTTTTTTTATGTGGGAATCAAAGACAATACACACACATACAGTTTATACATGTTCTTTGAAAACAGTCCCCTCACATAAAGGTGTTATACTTTTAAAAAAAAAAAAGTCTTTTTTTTTTTAAGTATAGACTTTTAAGACTTTGTGTTTATTTCAGAAAAACATTTAAAAAAAATTTTTAAAGGCAATTATTGACTAATAACTAAAAATCCCAGACGTGGCATTTTATAATGTTTTCCACTGATATTTTAGGATTTAGTCCACATTGTTGTCCATTGTTTTCTGACATCATGCAGCTGGAGGACATTTCTGTAGAAGAATGCTGCATGATATATGATGTCAGTGCGCCCCAGGGTGGCTGTGGCTACAATGTAGCTTGCCATCATCAGTGTGTGAATGTGTGTGTGAATGGGTGGATGACTGGTTGTGTAAAGCGCTTTGGGGTCCTTAGGGACTAAGTAAAGCGCTATACAAATACAGGCCATTTACCATTTACCATGATATCAGTAAACAATTTCTGCAAGGTGATATTCGTGACCAAACTCAAAAGTCTACCATTTCATTGACATTTTTTTCATATGTTTTATATGTATATTTGACATTGAAGAAGTCATCATGCCCGCTGCTATAGAGTTCCTTCCTTTGTTTCAGCCTCGCCTACTTCTTGTTTCTCTTCTCTGTTTAAACAATGCCTCAGTCAGGAACTGTGAACACAATATCTACTTCTATCTACATTATTTTAACCACAAATCAAATGGCAAAGTGTAGCACCGATCAGTTCCTAAAAAAAAATGAGCGGGTGTCTAAATGGTAATTATCTATGACTTCCCATTTTTATGATCATCCTCTTTTTGTCTTGTGTCCTACCTCTTTTTTGAAAAACCAGACACAACTGCTGTTATATCAAGTTTTTAAAAAAAATACTCTGAATACTTAGAGTACAGTAGAAAAAACTGCAACAGGTGCGTGTTTAATGTAACATAGCCTGACAAAATAATGTCGGAAGGATTGTACGCTAAGCCAGGCAGCATCAAAGACTTTCCCTCTGACAAGAAGAAGGAAAGTATAGTCGACATCTATGTAAGTGCAGAAAGCCTGAGAGTGTTTGATAACCCCTGGGTGGAGAGTACGTCACCAAACACCCCTGGACCGACAGGAGCTCAGCACACAGGTATGCTCATTAGAAGTATGAATAACAATAACACACATTTATATATATATATATATATTTTTTTTTTTTTAACCAGATTTTCATATTTAATTTATTGGCTGATTTGCTAGAGCAAATACAATAATGTTACCTCTAAAAAAATGTGTTTAAATGTACTGCACTATAATTTTACTTTATAATTATTCATCTATTTCTTTTATATTTTCCTTGTTAAACACCTTTAGTCACTGAGAAAACCAGAAAGAGAAATCATTTCAGAAGTTGTTCAATGTTTCTGGGTTTGTTGTGTCTTCTCCTCCTGGTTGGGATCATCTGCATTGGTGTCCAAAGTGAGTTTCTGTTTTGTTTTCCAAATGTAATTTACAAATTATAACAGAATTTCAAGTTATATGATAGAACATATGTACTGCTTTTTTCTTTTATAAATATTTACATATTTATTTACTTTCACGGCAGTGAATAACAACAAAAACAACTGTGAGAAGCAGTTGGAGTTACTGGCAAATCTCAGAAATGAAAGAGAATGCTTCTGCAAGGACTTCTGTAGTAAGTAGACTGTTACCTCTGCGATTTGTCATTCAATGAGTAATTTGGAAAGATTTTTTTCTGTTAACAGGATCTGAGAATGCATCATCCCCTAAACAGACATTTTATATATATTTTTAGTCTGACAGCTTTTGCAATGATGATGATGATGATCTGAATACGATGTTGTGCCAAACACATTTACTAGAATTTATTTACCCACAAGGAGCTTCATTTTAAAAAAAATGCATTACTTAATTTATGGTTTAATCTGTATTATTAAAACAAATATTTTAGCTTTTGCAGCCACAAAAACAGTTCACATAACAATCTGTAAACTATAACACATGTAAATTTGAAAAGGAAAAAAAAGAAGACAGAAGGTTTAAAAAAAATCTGGTATGAATGTCTGATGCCATTAATCTACGCAGAAATTAGGAAATAAGGCAAAGTGTTCCTTGTTGTGTTGTTACACAAGTGATTTCAGGTTCCACATTAACCTTTTCAGCACACTCACTTCTGTTTGTAAGTGAGACAAGCAAACAAGTTCTCTTTGTTCACATGTTTATATAAAAGTAGAGATATTTCCCAAGAGTGGCACGGGGGACCAAGAAAGCAGAGAAAATAAAAGAATAAATAAATAAATGAACATAGTGCTCACAGGAAGCCAGGATTGACACACTGTAGAAAACTGTCAGGTTCAAGTCTGTGTCTAAGTGGTGTTGTAAGATACCTGAAAATTGTTTTGTTAGATAAGTGTTTAAGTTATAGTGTGAAAATTAATGCTTCAATGAGTTTTCCAAAATTAGGATAAAGCATATTAGGCTTGAGGTTATCATCTAATTATCTTGGTTTTTTTTTTTATCTTTATGCAAGTTAAATAATTAAATAAATAAATAATATTCTAATCAATAATTTTAGACTCAAACTTGTAGTTAATTTAAAACAGACATTATATTAGCAAACAATAAATATTTATTAAGGAATGCATGTATTACATTAATGTCTTAGATATTTATTTATTTACATAACTTACTTATTTTAATTAATTTGGCTGGGCAGTTTTATCTATAACAATAAGACATAATATATTATAATATATGGAAACAAAACCTTTAAAATATATTGCTTGGAGTACAATATTTAAATTCAAAATATTGTTGGTTAAAGTGTATTCAGTAAAGTAATTGAGTAATGTAAAGTTTCCTTCTGGTCTTGCTGTCAAAGCCATGGCACTTCAAGGTTAACCAAGTTAATTATTCCTGCTGAAAAGGCAAATTTGCTCAAATGTGAAATTCAAAAATTGGCTTACTTAAACTATATTGCAATGTAATGTTATAATGTACTATATTTTTGTTTTTAAAAATGTAATCGATTGAAATTTTAGATTTTAATAAACTGGGATGGAACTCTAAAGTGAAACATAAGCCAAAGCATCCATTAAACACACTTTTAAAGCCGAGTGTTTACTGTGAAACTACTTCCTTACTCATGTTTTTCTCTCTCCTTCTGTAGAAAATTCCAACAATCGGGCTCAGTGTAAATGTCCGTGGTCAAAGAAGGACCTGAGAATGGATGGATGCAGTGGCGGTCCTAGCCTGTTTGGTGCCCCGGGCGAACACACCCTCTGCCCTGACTAATTAATATTAAAATCTGTAATATATTGTATTGTTTGGAGTTTAGTCTGTTACTGTTACTATTTTTACCATTTCTTTTTGGAGCAACTGTAATCCACAT